GGTTGTTTCTTGTAAAGTACTGATGTTTGGTAAAATATTACATTGTGATAGTAATATTTATGCAGACTGGTTGAACGTTGACCTCGTCGGCACAATGGAGCCTTTTCGCGGCGTTTCTATTTGGCAGCGTTTTTTTATCAGCTTATTACAATCGTTACGTAAGTAGATTATGAGATAAAATTTACAAATGATAGGCCAAAGTGTAACGTATACATACGAGAAGATAACCTTCTTTTAAGAAGACGGCTAGAATCGTAAACCGCAAATATTGTTTGTTAAAGACGAGTTTTCACAGATACAAAATCGACTTATCGCCGTTCCCTAACCAATATGTCGTGTACTTAAAATTATCATGTAGAATATTTGCTTAAGAATGAAGTATGTTTTTGAGACCTGTTGTATTAAAATTACCCTTTTTTGAATGCTTCATTTTGCTGATTTCGAAAGTTTTAAAATGTTATCACATTTTTTTTTATTTTTAGTAAATATAACCTAAATGATTTGTCGATCATAAACAACACTTATTTTTTTTCTACAATAAAATTTCTGCGTCAAATGTCGAGTGAATCATCTTCGGGGAGTGTTTACGTAATATATTTCGTTGGAAATATTTTATCAATATCATTATCTGCGTACGTAATTCGAACTAGACCGAAATCGTCTCGATTGTCTGAGGCGTTTTGCTTGAATCAGGCTTGGCGAAATAGCAACATAGATATGTAACCTACTAGCTTTTGCCCGCGTCTTCGACCGCGCGGAAATAATAATTGTAACACTTATAGCCTATGTTACTCAGTGATAACGTAGCTATTTATCGATGTAAGAATTTTTGAAATCGGCTCAGTAGTTTTTGAGTTATTTCAATACATACAAAAATACAAAAATACAAAATTCCCCTTTCTCTTTATAACATTAGTATAGATAGATGGAGTGTTTAACGTCTAATCGAGAGTTTATTTTTGAAATGGAAATTTTTATTGTAAATGAAAACAATGAAGGAATTTGCCCGTAATAAAAGGCCTCCAATGGCTGTTTTTTCGCCTCACGTTTGTGTTTATCATTAGGTATCTATCTTACTAATATTATAAATACGAAAGTTTAGATGGATAGATGTTACATAGAACGCATAGGATATTAAGGGCCTGTCCCACCACTGCCTGATACAGACTCAAATAGCTTGAAAATGACGTTACTGGCAGATAAGGGAAAAAAATCCGGTTATTTGTTTTACACGTTCGATTGTTATCAGACAATATACAATTTGGTGGGACAGTCCCTAATTTTTTTGTTTGACGCGGGCTACACTTTCTAGGTTATATATCTATAGCTAGCTGTATATAAAATTGAAACACTTTCTTGTTTATTATTCTTTGTACAGATTCGATGATGAAAAAAAGTTTCAGTATTGAAGGAATAAAGAGAATTATAAAGATTTCTTTGTTTTTTTTCTAATACGTTACAGAACTGTCAGTGGTTTCCAGACTGTCGGCAGTTTAGCTAAGACAGCACCTAACCTCTAAACTCCACTACACTGATATTTGTACACGTTCATATTGACATGGTGGTAAACATCCGTCAGTTTATGACGGCCATTTTGAATTTTTCATAATGTTCTTTACAATTCACCTTTAATTTAATGCCAATGCCATTTAACATTTTTTTTAAATTATTGTTTTACTTTATATCACTTCCACATCTTTTTTTGTTTTATCTATCTAAAGCCATCATAGGCGTTGTTATTCGATGATCCGGCTAGGTCTGGAGGGGCAGCAATCATTAAAAAGTTCCAATATACCACTAGCTCATACAAAAGTGCTGTATTTGTAGTAATCGCTTCATTTAGTAAGTACATATTCCCTTGAATATGTACTTAATGTACGGTTTTATCAATAACGATCTAATCTAATGGAAAAAGCATTAGCCTAGTCTTATATTTTGAAGGTTATGTTGTAATCTGAAAGGCCTTGTCCTAGGAACGCGACATGCGACTAGTAACTACAATAATAAGATTCAAATTTTATAGCGGCTTGGCTTGACTAGTTCAGTCTGGTACAATGAGAGTGAAAAGTGCTGGAGTGTGCCGGCATCATTTTATACCTAGTTCACACAGCTGGACTGGTATTCAACTTCCACAGTCCAACTTCTGCTCGATTGTGAACCGCGTGTCAATCTCGTCAAGACCTAAAATTGTATACCGTCTCGTTCGAAATTGCAAGTCGCTATAAAGTTTGAATAGCAAAGTACAAAATGGATTTTGAATTGGAACATGTTATTCGACATTTTCCGATGTTCCGATTTGTTTCACGTCACATTTTCTATCATCTAGAACTAAGTTGGGAAAAAAACCCTTCGAGAGATGGTGAAAGAGGTCGTGATCCTCGGGAATGAGGAAACGATTTAGAGAGAGAGAGGAATAATCATTTGCTGAATATCTATCTTACTCTTACTAATATTATAAATACGAAAGTTTAAATGGTTTGTTAGTTTGTAGCCTAAACTGTTGAATGGATTACGATGAAATTGGACATAGATGTAGAGGATAGTCTGAAATCTGAAAGAACTCATGGGCTACTCATTTGTTTTTTTTTTAAATTCCACGCGGACAGTGTCGCGAACGAAACCTAGTTATTTATGAATAAGAGATTTCTATTAAACGACAATTTGGGTTCACAAAGTTATTTAACAAACTTTGAATCATAAAAATAATGACGCCAAACAATCGGAATATATTAAAATTAGATAAAAATGTGATAACCATCTGGAAATACTTTTACGTTTCTAAACGATCAGATTACACGTATTGATATCGTACTCACGTGTTTTTTCACAGGTTAAAACTTTCCTTACAGGAAATTGGTGTTTGATCAACGTCATGTGGCACAAGAGCGTCGGTTGGTCAGTTAAGGCAGACTTCTGCAGATTCTGGGCTCGATTCCCGCTATATACCAATGTGATTTTCGATTTTTTTAATTCCCTATGTATCGCGTAACTGTTGTGCGATTGTCGATTGTTTCGCAGCCAATTCAACTGTTTAGTTGCACAACTAAAAATCGAGTAGTGTACTTCCATATACGCTCATAGGAATCAAAGCGAGATTGTGCGATAGTTTAGTCACTTAGTTACTTTTTTCGCTTTCCCGGCTGTGTAGTGTTACAGTACATGACAACTATAAAACATGAAAATTACATTAAATATGTAACGTAATTGAAGATTATTGTGATATATTCGTGATATCTTCAAGCTGTTATAGACCGGATGTCTAAATCGAATCGAATAATTCGTCGAATTTTTAATTTGTACAAGAATAGGTGGGAAGTCGTTGGATGCGGAAAGCGGAGGACCGCATTCTGTAGTAGGCATTGGGGAAGGGCTATCTCCATCAGTGGGCAGAGAAAGGCTGCTGATGATGATGATAAGAATAGGAATATTATCTATACTTTTATACTATTATAATAAAGCGTAAACACACACTTCTTTGTTGTCTAAGATGTCAGCAATTACAGCATATTATTGAATAACTCTTCTTTTAATAAAAAGCCCTACACTTTCTTTACGGTTTAGACTATAGGTATATTTTCACGCCATTACACTTAGGGGTAAATATTATGGATAAAATCCCTAATGTGGGAAAGAGACCATAAGTTGCTGCCAACATCAAGGATCAAGGTTACCAAGGTTTGACGTCAGGTCATGTCATTTTGACATTTGCAATTGATAATTTGACAAATGCAAACAATAAAATGATATTTTCATAATTTCATGCGGATGAAGTCGCAAGGGAACAGCTAGTTTTAAATAAATCTCATTATTAATTTAAATAAGGCTCATTAAAGGCCGTTTAGGCAGTATTTATACGTACAATATCTACATATATCATGTACACTTCCTTCCTTCCTGTATCTTAAAAACATTTTATCCTCCTGTCAGTAAAAAAACGTGTAAATCGGCTTATAACTCGTTGTTTCTAAATTATTTTAATATATGGAGACAAAAGCATTCACTTTTTCTAGGCCACTTTGTTCTCCGTTAAGGTTAAAAGCCTTTCAAACTAAAATGTAGACAATAAACGTACTTATTTTGTGAGTAAGTTTGAGAACGATTTTTACGAATAACGCTTTTCATACTTAAGATGCAAGTTATTGGTTATAAAGTCTGGATGTTTAGAGGTCAGTTGCAACACTTTGATCCGAGTAAAATTTAGTAAATAGTATTTGTCTAAATTTGATTAGAAATGTTCTATTCACCAATATAATTTTAGGAAATAGGATAAATCGAAAACATTTTGTTTAATAAAATAGAAATGAAAAAATATAGTCTATGTTACTCACAGATTAAATTACCTTTCTAACGGTGAAAGAATATTTAAAATCGACCCATTAGTTTTTGTGTCTATTCATTACAATCAAAGTTTTCCTCTTTACAATATATATAGACAAGCGAACTTTAGTCTAATTTTGTACGTGCGATTACTGATTTAAAATGCGTCGAATAATAAAAGACTAGCTGTTGCGGCTTCACCCGCATGAAATTATAAATTTATTGTTTACATTTGTTAAATTCTCAATAGCAAATGTCAAAATACCAATTACCTTACTATGGCAATCTTGTTTCCTTGATGTTGGCAGCAACTTATGGTCTCTTGCCCACATTAGGGTTTTTATCCAAAATATTGAACCCCTAAGTTTAATGGCGTGATGATATATTGGGTAAAGCGTGACGTAAGTGTAGAGATTTTTATAAAAAAAAGAATTATTCGAAAACATGCTGTTATTGCTGAGATCTTAGGCAATAAAAAGTGTGTGTTTACGCTTTTTTATAATAGTATAGATAGTAGCCGTTACTAAGCATTAGGCATCTTTACTATAGTAATCAATATTCGACTTTTTATTTCAAAACATATACTGATAATACCGTGATTGATTTGATAGCGTTTTGAAATTGATAAAGATTGACTTTGTATGTAGGCGATTTAGAATTAAGCTATTCATATTGTATTTCAGGTCCTTAGATAATTAAGGGGCTTCCCTGAAGAGGAATAAATATCACATAGCCCAGAAAATAACCAAATAAATAACCAAACAACAGAAAATCGTTTATTCTCTTTAAGATCTTGAGTACACCTGAAACTAATGTAATCAGATAGCAGCAACCGATCAAGTCGAGGTTCGGCCCTCTCGGGCACCTTTGAATCGGAATGTTAAACGCGTATTGAGTGACAGCCCACGCCGAGGTCCCCTCTCGGTGGCCCTTGTCCCTAGTCATTCCATGGA